GCGGCCCAGTCCTGGTGCGGGCCCCAGGCCTCGCCCCCGGCGGCTGCCGCTTCGTCTTCACTGCTGTAACTCGGAGCATTCCCCATGAGGACTCCGTCTCGGGCGCCCGGCTTCGCCGCCGCCGCCTCCTCCCCGCCTCGACCTGTCAACCTCCGACGGCACCCGGCGGGCGGGGACGGGGAGGGGACGACGGCGGCGGCAGCGGCTTCCGGCTTCCTCGCCGTCAAGTGAGGACTGCTGTCGCAAAGGCGCCGTCAAGCGGACTGGACAAGCCCAGCGAACGCTAGGCGAGACGAGCCGCGGCAAAGGGTGGAATACTGACTTCCAAGAGGGCGTTTGTCATAACGTTGGTGTCATCCCGCAGCCTCCTTTGCCGCCATTTTTGTTGGGGGCGGACAACCTGCAAGCCGAGAAGGTCTTTCGCTGCCCCACGGTCTCGGAATCCCTCCACTTTCACAAGCTTTGCTTAAAAAGTACGAGAAAGAGTGGGAGTCAGGTCGTGAACTTCTCGCCAGAGACTTCTTCCTTTCAGTTCTCTGTTGTCCACTTAGTGACAGGCGCACAAGGGATAGAGCGTCGCGTCGGTGACGTCACGGCCGACGTCTCCGCCATCTTGGTTGTGGGTAGAAAAGCGGCAACTTTGTAAGTGCGGAGAGGGAGGTGACTGTCTAAATGCTGAGGGTCCGCGGGCGCGAGCTCTTGCTGGGCCTGGCCGTAGCGGCGGTGGCAATGGTGGGAGCGTGGTTGATGGGCTGGTGGATTCCCCGCTCTGGCTTCCGCCTTTTCATACCCGAGGAGCTGGCCCGCTACCGCGGCGGCCCAGGGGACCCGGGCCTCTATTTGGCGTTGCTCGGCCGCGTCTACGATGTGTCTTCTGGCCGGAGACACTACGAACCTGGAGCCCACTATAGCGGTTTCGCAGGTATCAACGAGGCTATCCACGCCTTTCTATTCTTCGGCGCCGGCCAGTCGCTACCTGTGCGTCGTTCTTTCATTTATTCATCTGCTTTTCCTCCCTACACATTCATCAGATCAGCGCGTCGAGCCGGGCTCAGCCGCACCATCCTCCTGGTCTTTTGCTGTGGCGGGACTATGGCCATCTTTTACCGGTCTCTACCTTCTTTATCATTTCCCACCGCGCAGCGTGACTTTTATTTGAGAAACACGTCTCCTGCCTCCTACTAGTTACCCTTCCACCGTTAGAAGCCCCCGGACAACTAACTGCTTTTATGCCAGACTTCTGCGGGGCTCTTAGGTCAAGGAAATGAATGAGACCATGCCCCTACCCTAGAGCTCTCCAACTAATTCCAATTATTTCTTTAATATGCCCCGATCCAAAAAAACCTTTTTTCCTCTCCTTCCCTCACCCCTCCCCCGCCCCAAGTTTCCCCTAAAATAGTACATTTGATTTGAATCGTTCTTGCCTCTAGTACAGATGAACTTGTCTGCCTTCCTTAAAAAGAATTGTGAGGTTAGTGCAGGGTCTGGTCGCCTCTGCAGTCCCTCAGTACTTAGCACAAAGCTGTGCATATTTTAGGCCCGAAAAACAGTTGTCAAATGAAGGTCATTCTGCAGCCTTGATTTTACAGCTGAGGGGAGTAAAGGATGTGATTTGCTTAAAACCCTCACAACCAAGTACTGACAGTACCTAGACTAGGGCCACCAGCCTCCTATGAGATGTCGCCTGACAAGCCTGGCCTGTAGGGGGAACTGACTGCCTTCCAGATTTAAAAAAAAAACAAACGCAGAGCAAGCTTGGGGCCAGTGACTAGGCTGATATTAAATACGCATTTTCCACTGGTCATTATCGTAGGGGAATTGGAAGCTGCCTTTGGCACTTAAATACAAGTCACTTCCCTCTCTGCAGGGAGAACTTTAGAAATAGAAGGATTGACAGAAAAGGAATTAAGTCCAGTTGGTCTTGCCAAGCTCCTCAAATAATCCTGCAGGGGAAGGGACTTACCCAGGGCTACACAGGGGTCCCTGGGTGGTGCAAACAGCTAAGCGCTTGACTACTAGCCAAAAGGTTGGCAGTTCAAACTCACCCAGAAGTGCCTCAGAAGACAGGCCTGGCGATCTGCTTCCAAAAGGTCACAGCCTTGAAAACACCATGGTTTTCAACCACATGGGGTAGCCATGAGTCGGAATTGACTTCATGGCAGATAACAACACAGTGAGTTAGAAGCATAGCTGAGACTGGAATCAGGAGTTTTTCTACCTGCCTGTTGAGGATGCTTTTTGGCACACTATCCTGCCATGTGCTGACTCACCTATTCTGGCTGTATGCACAAGTGTGGGTATAAAACCTTTTCTTTCTAGGGTGATTTTCTTTTGCAGCATGCTCCTCTCTGCTGAGTTTCTGTGTGCCCGAATTCATTCAGTTTCTATTTAATGAGTACTACCATGTGGCCAGAGTCCCTGGGTGGTGTAAATGGTTAACACACTCAGCTGCTAACTTAAAGGCTGGAGGTTCGAGGCCACCCAGAGGCACCGCAGAAGAAAGGCCTGGTGACCTACTTCTGGGAGAAATAAAATCAACCATAGAAAACTCTGTAGAGCATAGTTCTGTTCTGACACATGGGGTCACCCTGAGTTGGAATGGACTGAGGGCAACTGTTTACCACGTGGCCTATCTTGTGCCAGGTGCTGAGAATCAGAGATGTCTATAGCATGGCCGCCACTGCCCCAACAGTCTAGTAGGGAAGCAGATATTTATTCATTCAATATTTTTATTATTATTTAATATAGATATAATTCATATAACATAAAATTCACCCTTTGAAAGTGTAGTTCATTTTGTTTTTAGTATAGTCAGAGAGTTGTGCAAACATCACCACAAATTTCAGAACATTTTCATCACCTGAAAAAAGAAACCTGTACCCATCAGCAGTCACTCCCCATTCTCCCTTCCCCTAATTCACTAGCAGTCACTAATCTACTTTATGGATCTGCCTATTCTGGGCTTTTCATATAAATGGAATCATACATGTGGCCTTTTGCATCTGCTTCTTTCACTTAGCATAATGTTTTCAAGGTTCATTCATGTTGTAGCATTCCTTTTCATTTCTTTTTATGGCCAAAAAATATTACATTGTATAGACAAACAATATTTTGTTTATCCGCTGTTTATCTGATGGATACTTGCGTTATTTCCACTTTTGGGGTATTACAAATAATGCTGCTATGAACATTTGTTTACGAGTTTTTGTGTGAACATGCTTTCATTTATCTTGGGTATATACCTAGGAGTGGAATTGCTGGGTCATATAACTGTTTGAACTTTTTGAGAAACTGACAAACTGTTTTCCAAAGTGGCTGTACCATTTACATTCCCACCAGCAATGTATTAGGGTTCCATTTTTTCCACATCCTAATCAGTATTTATTCTTGTCTGTCTTTTTATTATAACCATCCTAGTGGGTTTGAAGTAGTATCTCATTGTGGTTTTGATTATTTGCATCTCCCTATTGACTAATGAATAAATCAATAGGGAGATGCAAATAATCAAAACCACAATGAGATACTACTTCAAACCTGAGCCCTGGTGGTGTAGTGGTTGAGTACTATGGCTGCTAACCAAAAAGGTCAGCAGTTTGAATCCACCAGCCGCTCCTTGGAAACCCTATGGGGCAGTTCTGCTCTGTCCTGTAGGGTCCCTATGAGTTGGAACTGATTCAATGGCAGTGGGTTTGGTTTGGTTTATTGAATAATGGGAGCCCTGGTGGCACACTGGTTAAGAGCTAGGCTACTAACCAAAAGGTTGGCAGTTCAGATGCACCAGCTGCTCCTTGGAAACCCTCTGGGGCAGCTCTGCTCTGTTCTGTGGGGTCACTATGAGTTGGAATCAACAGCAATGGATTTGGTACAACAGTTAAAGCACTTGACTGCTAACCATAAAGGTCGGTGGTTTGAACCCACTAGCCGCTCCATGGGAGAAAGATGGGGCAGTCTGCTTCTGTAAAGATTTACAGCCTTGGAAACCCTATGGGACAGTTCTGCTCTGTCGTATAGAGTCACTAGGAGTCGGAATCAACTCAACAGCAGCGGGTTTGGTTTTTTTTGGTTTATTGACTAATGATGTAAACATCTTGTCATGTAGTTGTTGCTATTTGTATATCTTCTTTCATATACTATTGAAATCCTTTGCCCATTTTTTTTTATTGTGCTTTAGGTGAAATTTCACAGTTCAAGTTAGTCTCTCACACAAAAATTTATACACACATTGTTATGTGTCCCTAGTTGCTGTCCTTGTATTATGACAGCATATTCCTCCTTTCCACCCTGGGTGTTCATTCAGCCAGCTCCTGACCCTCTCTGCCTTCTCATCTCGCCTCCGGACAGGAGCTGCCCATTTAGTCTCATGTGTCTACTTGAGCTAAGAAGCACACTCTTCAC